CAGTGCAAAGGCCCTGGGTTCAAACCCCAGTACCACACACACACAAAAAACGTTCTTGGAGTTTGAACAACAGATGTCTCTGCTATAATAGTATCAGTTTTCATCCTAGTACCCAGTACGGTGTGAAACAAGTCACTGCTGAGCAGTGGGATCAGTGCAGATCCTGCACTCAGAGACGGGAACTCACAGAAAGAGACCTGGAGACCCTGGTGGTCTGTGAGGACCACGAGACAGGAAGATAAATAAAGCAACAGCTTGGAGCCCTTCCCGCTTCCCCTCCCCACCCCCAGGGTCTGATCCCAGACCTATTCAGAGCCTCCTATCTCTGCTCAACGGAAACAGTGATGAGACATGATGTGATCTCATTCGAGAGCTAAATAAAGCCACTGTGTGAGACCCAGCCCCGGCCACGGCCTCACTCCCTGCACCATTTCCTGAGCTTGGGACTAGGGAAGGTAGGCAGAGCTGCAAGCTGTCCAGGAGAAGCAGGGAAGAAACAAATGATGGCCGGGGGCCCCCCAGCTTGAATTTCAGAAACAGAGGAAGGGGCTGAGGAAGGCTCGCTAAGCCTCTGAAGGAAAGAATACAAGGTGTTGGCATCACTGGACGGTGGGGTGGACGGGTCAGAACGCAGGAAAAAGAGACACGAAATGAGAAGGTGAGAGAGAAGCGGCCCGACAAATTCCATTTTTACACGGGGCAGAGACCATGCATCCAACTCGGGGAGAAGAACAGAGCTTTGAGGAGAGGTCAGACTGCGCTGACGTGAGCGGAGGAAGATGGGTCTGTTGGTGGCCGGTGACCACTTGCTCACCCTTCTTCCTCCATGACAGGTGGATTCAGGACTGAAGAGAAAGGAAGGTCTTCAGCTGGTCACATTTCATTCATCTTTCCAAATTCAACCCTGTGGCCAGGTAAGGTGACCTATGTCTGTAATCCCAGCTGCTTAGGAGGCTGAGGCAGGAGGATTGCAAATTCAATGCCAGGATAGGAGACCATGTCACAAGATAAAATGTAAAAAGGGCTGGGATGCAGCTCAGTGGTACAGCTCGCCTGGCGTGCCCAGGTTTCATCCCTAGAGTGGGCACAGCAGGAACAAACAGCAGGTGGAACCTATGTGCAGTAGCTCAAGCCAAGCCTCTGCTTCTGGGAGAACACTGAATAGCAGAACATCCAAGATGCTAAGATTCTCTGAGTATGCTTCAATTTCAGCCCCACCCCACCCCATTCCTAATGAGAAACATTTCCTACCATTCACCCATCAGTTTCTCCAGTGCATTTTATTTTATTTTATTTTTTCTGAGACAGGGTTTCCCTGTGTAGTTCAGGGGGTCTTGAACTCACTATGCAGCTCAGGCTGGCCTTGAACTCACAGCAATCCTCCTGCCTCAGCCTCCCAAGTGCAGGGATCACAGGTGTGTGACACCACGCCCAGCTCTTACAATGCTTTATTTTTTTTTTTATTTATCTATTTGGTTCTGGAAATCAAACTCAGGACCTTGCACTTGCCAGGCAGGCACGTTGCTGCTGAACTATATCCCTGGCCCTACAATGCTTTTTTTTTTTTTTTTACTTATTATCTATCCATCTACCTAGC